ATATATATATATGTACATTAAGTACCACAAAAAGAAACAATGAACAAAAATCAAAACACTAACTCTTGAGCTTGTTTCGTGCATTGTTTGCTGACTTTTTTATCTCATTGGTGAAAGCTTCAACATCATCTTGTGTTTCTGAAAACAAGCAAACATAAAACATTTGAAAAGAGAAAATGATTCATTYGAAAACAATGAATGTGTTTGTTTGAAGCAGTTACTCTGGTCTGATGTTGGGGCGGACAAGATGGTGGAGTAAAGTTTTTTAATTTCCGTTATGTTTTCATCAATCTTGTCAATGCTGGTGCGTATGTCTTCAATCTAAAACACACACACACACAGATTATTTTGGAGCAAATACATTTTCATTGAAGAATTTGCTGCGACAGAAAAAAGAATACTTGTGCAAAGAAGTCGTCCATGAAAGCCTCATTTTCCACAGGAACCTCAGTATCATCTCCACCTGGATCACTCTTCTGTTAAAAGCAGATGTTTAAGAGAAAAAAGAAAAACACTATAACTTAAATAAGAAATAAACAAACCTACACAGGTACAGCATAGTGAATAATTTGTTAAAAACACAGTTACAGTAAGATTTTTCCCTCTTTATGTTTGTAGACACTTGTATTATCAAATGTACTCATATATGTCATATTACATGATGTATACAGTGGGTTGTGAAAGTTTGGTCAGCCTTGTTAAGTTTCCTGATTTACCTTTATAAATCATTGATTGTTTGGATTTAAAAAATCAGTTAAATACAGAATATCATATAGGGGACAAGCAGTGATGTTTTAGAAGTGAAATGAAGTTGATATGATTTACAGAAAGTGTGCAATAATTGGTAAAACTAAATTAGGCAGGTGCATAAATTTGAGCACCAAAAACAAACAAACAAACAAACAAAAAAAACCTTAACTCAATATTTAGTAGCTCCTCCTTTCACAGAAATAACAACCTCTAAACACTTCCTACAGCTTCTAATGAGAGTCTGGATTGTGTCTGAAGGTATTTTAGACCATTCTTCTTTACAAAACATCTCTAGTTCAT